GCTTCTCAAGATTGTCTAATCAATTTCATAGTTATTCAATCACGACCTTAAAAATAGTGAGATCGATAGGTGATTTTTCTTCCCGTTAGTTAATCACATGTAGGAATCTGTTGTGGGGTATTTTAGTATCCCTATTTTTTATTAGAGGTATTTGGCCTACCATGTAGTTTCCAACACATGTCTTTAATATCTTTGGGATTTTCACAAAAGGTATATAAAAGATTATCCTTATTATTGGCTTTCGGAGTTGCAGGGTAACATGCTTCCTTTAATTATTAAGGGGGTTTGAAACCTCATAAGATTAAGGTTGAATTATTAATGAAGCAAGGTTCGAGCATGACCCTCATTATATTTTCTTTTGATGTTATAATAGAAATTACCTCATTGACCGATGACATTTCATCCTTTCCTAAGATCTAGATTTGTACTTGATCATATTCCAGTTTATTTCTGTTAAAAATTAATAGGCACAATCTGTTTTTACAAACTTTTTGAGATGAGCTACATCTCTATTACAATTCATGATTAGGCTGTGGTATTGGTGTAGTTCCTATCATCAGTTTTTTAATATATTAGAATATTCATTTACTGACCCGTGCTCTTGTTTCGTAGACCATGTCTTGACTGTCATATCATAAATTTGTGTTTTTTTTTTTACTTTGGAATATGTTTTGTCGACTACATCTCACACCACCTTTGTTATGGGAATATAGTTCTAAAGCCATATCATGATGATGGAATCCTCGTCATCTAGGCATCAATGTAGGTCTTCAAGATTTCGTCTGGTACCTAGAAGATGTTTGAACTTCCTTTTCCCTTTTAGAGTGGTTCAAATTAATTAAGACCAGTTTAAATATTATTTTTCTGTAAATCAGTATGCAACTTGAATTTGCTGTGAAACTCGAAAGTGGAATTGTCCACATTGAAATATGCTCCACTATGTTAAGATGTTACCTCCAATATTTTTTAAGAATTTAATAGTAATTAATTATCAAAAAAGAAAAAAATTATCGAAAAAAATTTATCACGAACGCATGACTATGTGAAGTCGTTCGTGTGTGGTTGCAATAAAGGTGACAAAGTGAGCTGTGGGCAATAGTGCACGTTTGTGGAGGGCTACTGGTGACTAATGGGTGTAGGGAGCAATAACTTCTTCTAAGACCGACTATGAAAACTGGTGGGTGGGGGTGGGTCGGTCTTATTGGGGCTAACAATAAATGGGGTGGTGGCCCGAATATAAAAGCTTACCTCTTTTAGTTTTTTTTTTTGGTTTATTTTCGACAAATAACAGTCGACTGAGGTTTATAAAAGCGTCTAGAGATTATCTAAACCTTTGTTACCATATTAAGAATGATTTTTAACTATGCATATTCTATTAAATATTACAGTACTATATGTACAGATTTTTTACGACAAAAAAATAAAAGTTAATTACAAATGATATTATTTTATCTTTTAATTTGATACTCTCATTTATTTTTTTGATTTTCTTCATCTTCAAAACCATTATTTCTTTCTTCTTTAGCATA